TAGTCGAGTGATAGTTCGCACGAATCGATGACTTCCACACTCTTTGTGGAGTCGTTGTGGACGTCATCCAAAAGCAGATACACTGCACACCACTGCGAGTCAGAGTCACTCTTGCAGTTGTAGTGCCACTCATCACGACTACAGACAGTCCGCCATTTTCTCAGACATCACTACAGCCTATCTGAGACACCAGTCCTCTACACCACTACAGCCTATTCACACTATACCATCGCCTCTACCACCACTTCACCACCAATTGTGCTCATTATCACCCAGTAATCAACTGATTGTGTGACACGAGTCGAGGTGGCATCGATGGCGCGCATCCCAGCCGTGAAGATGTCGTATCCGTGCAGTGAGTGCTCCTTCGAGGCCCAGAGTGCCCGCCAGTTGTCCCGACATAAGGCCGTCACTCATGTGGAGAATGCCCTCAAGTGTGTCCTCTGCCCCTTCGTTACGGTAAGTGACCATCACATTCACCACTCCATCCATTGATCCACTCATGAGCCACATTCATGTCCATTATAGGCATATCAAACCAATCTTCTGAGACATCGTCGAGAAGTTCACGGCATCTGTGGTTCAAAAGGTATTGTATTTCTAATTGATTTCATATGATTTGAGTCCAACTGAACACAACTTCGCCCTCAAAGGCAATAAGAGCTGCAAATTCTGCGGTTTCCTCTCCGAAGACAACGAGACATTGATTCGCCATCAGTTGGAAGTACACAGAGATATCCTGAAGTCAGCACAAGTGAAGTTCGCCAAAGAGTTGGTCTCCGCCGGCGGTGAGGAGAGCAGTGGTTCCGGCGCTCCTTATGCCTCGAAATACGAGCAAAACTATGATTTGGTTGAGAGCCAAATGAATGCCAACGCCTTCGACGGACACTTGGATTCTAAGAATAGAACTCAAGAGGAAGAGGACGACGACGAAGACGACGACAAGAACTTCTGGAAAGAGGGGTTTATGGACGACTCGCCCAACCTTTTCATGAATTTGGCGTCACTTCACAGCAACCAAAGAGACCAATCGGAAGCCAACAACTGGTATGTCTCTTCCGGACAGCCGTCGCCCGCCTCTCACGAGAACTCTGTCAGCGATTTGATGTCTTTGAGCGGAAGCACTCCAAGGGTGTCGTCTAAGCGGATGCCGATCCCCGCCAGTGCCGGCAGTAGTGATGATCTGCCGGCCACTCGTATCCGACGGCAATACACGTGCAATGACTGCGGCTTTCGGACGATAAACCCGCGCGAGTTCTTATACCACCGGCGCGACGAACACGGCCAGCGCCTCAAGATAGTCGAGTGTCCCTATTGTGTGTACGCCTGTCAGTACGTCCAGAAGCTTCAAAGACATCTGCTTTTAGTGCACAAATTGGAGACATCAATGACACCGCCGCCCGAACTCTCGGCGTCGCCCAACAAATCGAGTAAATCGAAAGCTATTCCGCAAAACAAATTGCCACCAATTCCTCAATTAGAAGGTCCGGAGGTTTTAGACAATTCAGACACTCCTCAGCAGCAGAACGTTGTGCCCAAAATACGGGTCAAACTGCCGACACTTACCTCACCGGCGATGGTCACCACAGCGCGTGTCAATCATCCCATTCCCGGACCGCCCAAAATGAAGTTAATGGCACAACAGAGGTCTATAAGCGATCAAAAGCGCAAAATAGCTCTTCAGAGACAGATATCTGCGAATCAAAAGCGAATGAATGATAAATCGCTTTTCGCCAAGAAGTACCACAAATGCCAGACCTGTGGGTATATGACTAATGTTCAGTACCTCTTCAAGAAACACATGAAATACCATTCGGCGCCTAAAATAAAGTGTGAAATGTGTGACTTTGAGAGTCCCTACTCTTGGAATGTGGACAGACATGTGAGAAGCCATTACTCGAATGGACTCTTTAAGTGTACGAAATGTAGTTTTGCTTGCGATAAGAAACAAGGTATCAGTCCTTCCATTCATTTTTAATTTAACTGCTAATCAATTCATATGATTTAATGTCCATTATTTATACCCCTATTATAGCGCTCACCGTTCATATGACTCAACACCATAGAGACAGAGCCGGTGAACAACCGACGGGTGATTCCATTGAAGTGGATCCCAATCGAGACATACAACTGAAGATAGAGGACAGTGAGAGACAAGTAGTAAATCAAAGTATTGGTGAAGACATTGAAGGAGAAGGCGAATCGTTGGCCCACTTATTCACACAGAGTATGGAAGAGGGACCGCAAACGAGCTCTCCTTCGACTTCGAGTCGATTGCCGACCACTTTTGTGAGACAAACGGATGGCAAGATTGTGGCCAAACAAGGAGTTCTCAAAAAGTGTAAATATTGTAACTTTCAAACCGACACTTTTGCTAAACTCCAGAAGCATGAGGCGGCCTATCATCCCGAGAAGAAGTTCAAGTGCCCTCTCTTACCTCTTCAAGAAACACATGAAATACCATTCGGCGCCTAAAATAAAGTGTGAAATGTGTGACTTTGAGAGTCCCTACTCTTGGAATGTGGACAGACATGTGAGAAGCCATTACTCGAATGGACTCTTCAAGTGTACGAAATGTAGTTTTGCTTGCGATAAGAAACAAGGTATCAGTCCTTCCATTCATTTTAATTTAACTGCTAATCAATTCATATGATTTAATGTCCATTATTTATACCCCTATTATAGCGCTCACCGTTCATATGACTCAACACCATAGAGACAGAGCCGGTGAACAACCAACGGGTGATTCCGTTGAAGTGGATCCCAATCGAGACATACAACTGAAGATAGAGGACAGTGAGAGACAAGTAGTAAATCAAAGTATTGGTGAAGACATGGAAGGAGAAGGCGAATCGTTGGCCCACTTATTCACACAGAGTATGGAAGAGGGGCCGCAAACGAGCTCTCCTTCGACTTCGAGTCGATTGCCGACCACTTTTGTGAGACAAACGGATGGGAAGATTGTGGCCAAACAAGGAGTTCTCAAAAAGTGTAAATATTGTAACTTTCAAACCGACACTTTTGCTAAACTCCAGAAGCATGAGGCGGCCTATCATCCCGAGAAGAAGTTCAAGTGCCCTCTCTGTGAGATTAAGTTCGAGAACTTGGTGTGGCTTCAGCGACATCTGACTCATATGCATCAGGAGGACACTGAGGCCAACAACATCGTCACCATTTTGGAACAACTCAATCCCAAACGCAAACGCAATAAACCCATTCCCTCGACATCCACTCCACTCTCGCAAAGCATTCCTGAGGTGTTGGCTGAAGGCCTTCCCAAACAACCAAACGTTCAAATGAAACGCAAACACGCGCCACAAGACAAGAATCCCACCCAATGCCAAGTTTGCGGGTATGTCTTGTCAATGACCATCTGATCATTAATTATCTTATTAATCGTATGACCACTTAATCCAATAGATACCAAACACGTTGGATATCAGAACTTGAGAAGCATATGAGAGTTCACACAAAGGAAAGACCCTTTTCTTGTCCTTATTGTTCGTTTAAAAGCAAATGGAAAGGAGATCTGAATCGACACATTCAGAAATATCACAGTCGACTCCCGATGCCTGACTTGAATCTAATGGAGCAACAGATTCAGTCGCAATCAGACGGAAATCAAACACTCGACCCCTCAATGGATTGGACACAAAAACCCATTCTTCCAGAATTTGGTGCTGAGATGTCCGCTGAGTATGAAAAAGACGCGTCGATCCTATCAGGAGAACAAGATTATGACGACTACAACGAAGAGATGGAAGAAATCAAAATGGATGACAAACCACTTCCGGATGACTACGAAGAGAGACCCCTTGTATTCGACGACTTGTCGGATGACAATGAAGACGCGCCTGATATGGGCGATGAGGACGACGTGGAAAACGAATTGCAAATTGATTTCGAGGACAGAGAGGTGTCGACGCCCACAGAAAACGCGGGCCCTTCTGACTCACCCCATGAGGTGACCAAATCTGGCAAAGTAAAGATGTATCGGTGCTCGTACTGTGACTTCACGTGCAGTACTGCCAGTCGTTTTCACGTGCATTTCGTGCAACATTTAAATACAAAGCCATTCCAGTGTTCAGTGTGTGGCCACCGGTCTAACTGGGAATGGGATGTAACCAAACATATTAAGATGAAATCCCAAAGAGACCCCAAGCACGTGGACGCCAAAGCCATGCTTGTCCACGAGTCGGGCAAACGAGACTATTCCAAGTATAATAAGTACGTGGTTTGGGTCAACCAGAGGGAAGTGATGGCCAATAATACCTCTAATCCCAAGATTGACTTCAGAGCCAAAAGGGCGCGCTTAGAGCCAACCGATGGCGTCGAATACGAAGACAATGACATGAATCAGACCAATGAAGTGAAATATGAAGTGGAATATGAAGAGGACAACAGTTACAACTGTCCCGATCCTGAGAGTATTGTCATCACTCCAGACATCTGTTTTGAAGTCCAGGGCGAAGACCCAACTAATGCTAACGTGGAGTACAATCAAGGCTTCAATCCTGCCTTTCAACCCAATGTTCCCTACAATTCAAACCCCACTCCATCTGCTTCTGAAGACTTGAGACTTCTTCAGTGCTCTTACTGTGAATTTAAGCACAAAGAAAGCAAAGTAATGGTGAGTCACTTGAGTAGTCACGCCGGTATGAAACCCTATCGATGCCGGCGCTGTGGCTTTGACTCTAACTGGAGGGAAGTGGTTGTCCGCCATTGCATTGCGAGACATCAAAGCAATTCTGAAGACGTGGAACAGCGATTCAGATGTACTGTCAATAAGACAATGTGCAAAATAATTGATGACAACATTGCGCCCAAAGTTATCAACTCTGCCCCGGCATCTCATCTGCCGAGTGCTGTTCAAGCCTTTCAAGAATCGCATCAAAGCGTACGGATCAGTGGCTTTAAAGGAAGTTTTCGTTGCGATTTGTGTCCCTTTAGGGCTGAGAAAGCGTTTCACATGGATTTCCACGTTAAACGACATCAACCTTCCAGTGGACCGTTTAAATGCCCGCACTGTCCCTATTGGGTGAGTGTTTCTGTCAATTTTCAATTATAATTATACCATTATATGGTATATTTTATTTTATTCTATAATTCTATGCTATTCTTATATTACAATTATTGTAAATTAAAACAATTGAAAAGTTTTTAATATTTGTATCGAATGTGATATTTAGGTGAACGCAAAGAAGTCGTTAGTAAAGCACATGCTTTTGCACGCAGACAACGATAATAGTGTGACCCGTGAGGACAATAGGGCTCAGAATAGCGCCAGTATTGAGACCGGAGTTGAAGGCTTTAATGAGAGCAGCAGTCAATTGGATGACGATATGGGCGACGATAACGAGAGTGAGAACGGATTAGTCATATATGAGAACGAAGACAATGAGAGTCAGGTTTTCATGAATCAGAGAAATTTAAACCCAATGGCCCGACAGTCGGCGAGTGTTAGTAAAAACAGATGCGACAAATGCCCGTTCATTGCAGGCACTAAAACACAGCTTTTATATCACAAACAGTTTCACCGCCCAAATAGGAATTCTTCGTATTCTTGTACTCTCTGTACTTATTCTGTCAGTTATCTCCATCTCCTGAACCAACACATGAAAGTCCATTACCAGAACTCCGGTGACATTCAGGAGCCCATCAATTATTGCGAAATACCTCCCGAAGCGGACTCGGAGTTTATGGATGAATCCGATGATAGAGACGAGTCTGACATCCCATTCACTTGGGTTCAGATCGGAAACAATAAACGCAAACTATTTCAGTGCCGCTTCTGTTCGACTACTTCTAAGAGGAGAACCTATATCTTCGTTCACGAAAGACTCCATTCAACCAATAATAACGAGACCTTCAAGTGCTCGCGCTGTCAGTTCGAGACCCGAGACTCCAATCACTTCTTGTCTCATCTCAATCAACACAAAATTGATGAAAATGAAGCACAAAATGCATCAGATGTTCAAAAGTCTCCATCAAATGAGACTAAATTCGGTGCGCCTTCAGTCTCAGTGATTGACGTCAATAACATCAGACACGGAAGCAGAAGAATGTTTTCATACGTGTGCCCCGGTATGTCATGTGATTATTATTTACTGTCTTAAATCGGTTTGACTCAAACTCTTTGAATAATGGCGATGACCTGTCATTAAACGTTTGTTGCCATAAAAACTTGACTTAAATTATGTTTTAACTTTTAAATATGACTTATAATATGTATGTCTATTACTGTACCGACAGACTGTCCGGCGGCCTTCAAAAGTCCTGGAGATCTGAAAATTCATTCCGCTTTTCACGGCGCAGAACATCCACATCACTGTCCGTATTGTAACTATAAGTGAGTTATATATATATTACGCAAACACCAGTTATCTGTTTACTAAAGTATTTATTAATATTTTCAGAGCGAAGAATAAGCCACAGCTCTGTAAGCACCTGTACGTCCACACGGCTGAGTACATCACTAAGAGAGCCAACTCCTATCCCGACGGCACTAAACTTCTTATCGGAGACGCTGTCGATCATATGAAACGCGATCTCCGGTCTCCTCAGATCGACAATTCGGTTGCATTCCAGGCCCAATCGGGCGCCACTTCTTTGCTCAAGAAGACTGACTCTCAGTCCAGCTCTATGTGTGAGGCGTCCACTCCTTTGTCGGGTTCAGTCGCCACTCAAATAGTTCCCAAAAGGGCCGCACTTTTCTCCAGTGTTGGACAGACTTCTCGACAACAAATGATTTTATTAGAGATGAATGAATCGAATGCTTATTTGGATAAAATCAGATCAGGAGTTAAGCATCGATTTATCTACAGGTGCTCTCATTGTCCGGCAGTATTTATGAAAGTAAATACTCTCACATTTCACGTATCAATGCATGCAAGCGATGCCCCAAACAAATGCAAACTTTGCAGTTATAGCTCGACAGCACCTGAAAGTCTAATGATTCACAAACAGTTACATAACTATCAATCGTATGCTTCAGTTTCTCACTCCGTATATAACCACCGGTGCCATCGATGTCCGGCCGCCTTCTCCAAGAAGTCACGCCTCGAAAAACATGTGACACTTCACGGACTCGACGCTAAGTGGAAGTGCGATCAATGCGATTATGCCGTCCATTACGCGGCGACACTCGTTAAACACAGAGCCTGTCATCAAATGAATCCTGACTTTAAGACCGATAATGCAGACAATCATTTGGAGGCATCAGAACTCAAACAAATGGCTAACATTCAAGAGTCAAGTGACACCACCAAAGACACCGATTTGAATAAAAAGTCTCAAATCAGTTCGTCGACATCAACAGAGGCCATACCTCTCGCAGACAATCCCAACGCCGAACCCAATGAGAGTGAGAAGGAAGAGAAGATTCTCTTCTGTTGCGATCGCTGTCCTTATGTTCACCACCGAAGAGATGCCGTTCAGAGTCATCTCAAACGACACGACCAACAGATCCGTAACGTTCGCGACGGAAAACAGTGTCCGTATTGTGACTACACATGCCTTCAGCCCTCATATCTAAGAGAACACATTCAGTGGCACTTCGAGCCCATTCACGAGCGTAGACCAGCCCTCTTCACATACTTCAATGATATGGAGGTTTGGAAATTAGAAACTCTTGAATGCGAACAAAATGGACACAAAGAGGACGACAAGAGTGAAGGAGAAGCCAAGCAATTGTTGTTCAAAGATCTCGGAATCAATTACGATATTCAGCAACGATTCGAGCCCTTAGAAAGCGACGAAGAGTTGTATGAATTGTATAACGGATTCGAAAACAACTATTCCGACAGCGATTCCGAAGAAGACAAACCTCCAGTTGACGAGTCGAGTGATGCCATTCCCGCCAATGAGTTGTGTTGAACGCCATTTCGATGTTATTATAAGATATTTAATTTATATTATTAAACGTGTAATTAAACTATAATTTTTATTTAAGAAAAAATATAAAAACCAGAATTTGTTGTTATATAAAGACAATTAACGATATATTTAAGCGAAACGAATCACAAATTATTTATATTTCAAGCAATTGTTACCACTTTTCTCATTATATTTGCTTAGATTTGATACAAATTACAAAAACAAATTCAACTAATATTATATTATACTCTCATAAACTAATTAATGCCTATATTTAAGAGTTCCTCGGATTACAAAATTAGTTATTAATAAAACCTTTAGATATTTGTTAGACGATTTGAAATGATTATATTAATATTTGAGGACAATTTGGATTTATTCTACACTTATTTTGTGTTATTTTGCAATTTGTTTATTAAAATTAAACTTTTTTGATTAAAAAATAAAATTGAATTTAAAAATTTAAATACTTTATTTCGTAATTAGATTTGATTATTGTTCACAATGTCAAATGTGATTTGCATTTTGAATTTTGTTATCTCATTTGCCAAATACTCGTGAGTCGTGTTATCAGTCTTATAGCTACTATTGAAGTACTGCTGCAGTCTTTTATCTGAACCAATAGTCTCTAATTATCTGTTCTCATCACTCAATCAAACCATTATTTGTGTGCTGAAGACATACTGTCATATAAGAGAAGACAACTCAACCGACACCAGAGTAGAGCTACTTTCAAGTAATTGATTATTATTATAGTATTGCCTCAATTGATACCAATAATTATTATTCATTTGTATAATACAGTAATATATCACATATTCTTCACTTTTATTCCAGTTATTAATTCATTGAAATGAGTGAAAAAGAAATACATTTCATTGATCCGCTTATTTCCTCACAATTTGTGGTCAATGCAGCCAAACATGTTTCCATCAAAGACCAGGGCATCCAACGATTGGCTCAAATGGTATTCATTTAAATTTAATTTGCAATTTAAACTATTAACTATTATTAACTTTTAATTTAGTTTTTATATGAAAAGAAAGCATAATAGTCTAATTTTGTCATAAATTTCACTTAAGTGGCTATTTATAAAATAATATTCTAATTAATCAGCATCATTCTTTAATTTTAATGATTAAAACATTGAACTAAATTATCTGAATGTGAGTACATACAGTATCTATTTAATTTATTTCACAATAATAAACAATTTTTCTTATGTTTTAAAACTTGTTATATTAGGAAATTTAAGATTTAATTAAAATGTATTTAAAATTGGGCACAGTACTAGCGCAAAACTAAACTCATTTATAAATTTGATAAAATTGAATTACAGCTAAAGTCTGAAATCGAGACTAAAAGGTACAGTACATCAGTTTGGAAGGAACACCCCCTACACCCCAAAGTTGCCGACCAGACAACAATCGATTGGATATTTGTTGTCGATTCTCTGAATTTCTCATTTTGGGCCAATACTGACCAGGACTATACTATTGAAGGCCATACGGGCTATTGGGCTCTCTGTGCCGCTATTAATAGAGCCATAAAGAAAGGAATTCCTATAACTGATCCTCAATTCTATTCCCAAGTCAGTGAACCGGAGTTCAGAGAAATATTCTCAACCGATAATGGAATAGAAATTCCTTTACTTTTGAAGCGATTAGAAGTGTTAAGAGAATCGGGAAGAGTTCTCATTGAGGTTTGATTTGACAGACCAGAGATGACCACAGATTATCTGATTATCTGATTATCTGATAGTCATCTCTGAATTTGAAATCATTGAAATTAGTTTAAATTTGATATATATTTCTAATATAGAAATTTGGCTCAAGTTTCCTCAACTGTATTCAAGAAAGCGATTCTAAAGCAACAAATCTATTGAAACTAATTGTAAATAATTTCAGTTCATTTCGAGACCAAACCATATATAGAGGACAAAGAGGTTATAATTAAAAGCAATAGAAATGATTACTAACTGATGAGAAATAGTCTCGTTTTACAAAAGAGCGCAGATCTTGATCGCAGACATTTGGGCCGCTTTTGAAGGCAATGGATTCGCAGACTTTCAAGATATCGACGAACTGACAATGTTTGCCGATTACCGGTATTTAGACATAAAATGTATTTCAAATGAAATATTAAATTCAGTTTACTATGAAAGAGTGCCTCAAGTGCTGGTATACTTCGATGCCATTGAATACTCGCAACAACTCAATGATATTCTTAAAGACGAAAACCATTTGTTTAAAAGTGGAGACGAATACGAAGTGGAAATAAGAGCCGCCTCTATAGTGGCCGTCCATCGGATCACACAACTCATCAAAACTATGAACAACTCTTCAATTAATTCAGTTATCATTGATTTTTATTTATGGGATTATAGGCGAGAAAATAGTCAACCGATTGATGAGAAAACCCCTTTTCATAGGGTTCGCGACATTTTCTATTAGTCTGGATCTTAAATAGATTTCAAGTGAATGAAGAGTTATATTTTAATCAAAATTTTATTTAATTTTTATATTTATAAATTTTTGTCAAATATAAGTTTATAATTATTATGATGAAAACTATAATATATCAGTAATTTACTGTAAAACATATTAAATACTAACAACAAATAAGGTTTAATATAGTGTATTAAGCCATTAATAGAATAGTCTTTTCAGGTATTAATTAATTTTCATTTCACGTGTTAAGACAATGAGAACTAGTGTATAGTTTTTGCCTCAAAATATATTTTCATTAGAAGTGACCACAAAAAAAATAATTTTCAGATCAAAACTAAATTTATATCTCATTTGTTTGATATTATTTCAAATGAATCCACATTTAAATGAATCGACGGCTTCACACTTATGGCACAGTTTTCTGATCTTTGAGTGAAGTCTTGGGTTGAAGGTTGGCTTCGGAAGGAAAGCCAACTGCGCCCTCACCGCCAATTCCTAGGTCTGGCAATAATGGCTCATCCAAGAGGTCTATAAGTAGAGACAAAATCACATTTATTTTAGATAATGTATAATACTGTACAACACTCGTGAGCACCACTACCTCGCGAGTCATCATTGGACTCATAAGTATCCAAATCCAAGTCATCGAACAGTGTGTTTGAGTTGGGATTGAATTGAATGACTTCATTGCCAACGATTTGTTTGTTGGGATAAGACATGCCGTATGGGTTGGAGCTGTTGTCGTCGTCCATTGAAAAGAGCTATCATTTAAGAGCCATTAGAAAACAATCTCATTATTATAAAGTTAAATCTCTGACAAAATTTATTAAAGTATTTTATTATAAATTTTCAATTATCAAATTTAGCAATACTTTAGAGTTATCTCAACAGGGCAATTGATTAAACATTTTGAAAATGAAAACAAAAACTGTAATAAAACTGGCAATACATTTGTTCAGAGCATTTATGAGATATGAGTTCAAACCTGTTTTAGCCAAAAATTGTCAGTCAGGCCGAGGCCTGAGTCACTCCTTACCCCCAATAGAGTGGATGTGTCGATATTGATCCCGGAGCCGATCTGGTCGTGTAGCCAATCCAACTCGGCGTCGATTCCCTCGATGTGATCATTGAAAGCACTATTCATTTAAAAGACAATACAGTATATTATAAATTAATGAATTCATTCATATTTGAGGCAAACCTTGTATTTATAGGAGTAATCATTTGGTCGCTATTTTGCGTGGAAACCACTAAATCTTTGATATCATTTGGTTTTATATCAATATTGGTGTTCGTTATCCCAAAACCTCTCTCTAAGTCAGTGGACGAGATCTGAGGCGTATTCAGAGTACTCTGCAATATGGTGTCGTCAATGGGCAACGACACGTCAATGGGCTGTTGTGAGGGGTCGGGCACTAAACCCAGTTCTTTAATACTTTGCTGCAAAGGATCTAATATATGAAGAGTTGGTACAGAAGCGGATGAGTGGGCTATTAGTTGATCAGTGGGTGAATCGGCGGCCAATGCGTTCACTTGAGACGCCGTTTCACACAAATCACTCAACGGGTCGGAGGAGGGAATGAGCGGCGATTTGGCGTTAATGATGGCTTCGTCCAAATCGGTCACGTCGTGAATGATAGGGCCATTGGATCGGGGATTGTCTGAATCAAAATCATTACGTTTTATCATTTTATTCCTCAACAAATGGCGATTCTCTTCGGTGTCATCGATCATAAGCTGAGCCTTCCTTTTGATTCCCATATTTCCGCGAACTAAAGACACTAAGAATTGGATCAACTTCTCGACCACTTGTTGCTGTTTGTGGTGTTTTTGTCGCAAAATTGCGATTTCCCTCCAAAGCGCCTCATTCTCCCTCTGTATTGTCGACAACAGGCCGTCCATTGATCCCTGTTTTCCTTTGATAGCCTCGACGTCCTGTAATATTTCGGACACCTCTTCGTGTTTAAGGGCATCAGAAGGAGATCCAGCCTTTCCTACAGGAATCTGTTGAGAGCACATGTGTTGAGTCAATTTGCAAATCAGTTTTCATTTGATAATATTTCAAACATTTCTCATTATTTAGTAATCTTTGCATTGATTTAATAAATAATGAAAATAATTGACATAAAAGCCAAAATGAATAAAACAAAAGGCAATGAAAAATGAATACTTTTAGAGAAACCTTTCTCTTAATGAACAGCAAATCGGATTCCTTTCCCTGAGTGAAGTACTGGTGATAAAACTCGATGTCATCGCGTTCCGCACGGAGTCCACTGTTTTCAATGCTCGCCACTTTGCGAAAGCCATCTGAATATGAGTGATATATTTGAGTGATTAGTGGCATATCAAGTGAGTGAATGTGTGAATGCATACACATATTGAGTTGTCTTATAAACGAAGCCATGTTATTATGTTTGAAGTACAGTGGAAGCAGTTCTTTGGCGAACTTTGACTGGTCGTGGATCATAAAACTGCGCCCATTCTGGCCATACATACAAACAAATACATTACATAATTGGCATCACTTTTGTGTCATTATTGCAATCATATACTTAAGCAATGCAACACAAAAATTGATGCTTAGGTTATACGAGATTACATTCATTGACATAAAAATCTTTTTAATTGTTTATTATAGCACTTCATTTTAAAAACTTAGAAATAAGTCATTTTACTAATGTATATAAAAACTTTTGATTATAGATTTAAATTAAAACTTATAGTCAGTTTGTTTTATGTATATATGAAACACATTCAAAGCTTTTTAAATAATTATAATATTCTCATAAATATTCTCTTTATTGCCAATGGATTATGACTTATACTATAATATACTGTAATATCATTTAAACTAAACTAATAATTAGATTAATGTAATAATGAGTAATGAAATGCATTGCGAGTTACGTAATGCATGCAGTGATTGTGTGCACATAGATTGAGATCTCATTATATAATCATTTGCTTTATTACATAACCACTCAATTGAATCCAATCTCACATATCGTGTCCACAAAACGTGAGACAAACACCAATATAAACCTTCAGACGTTTCATTGTTTTATGGCTCATATGAATGACTTTAAGACTATATTAGACATCACTTCCTATACTTAGCATTGATTGCAGTCATACTAACTTTGACCACAATCTCTAACCTCTATTCGGGACTAAAGCCTAATATAGACGACAAATGTGACCAAAAGGTGAACATAAACGTCAAAAATGATACAAAAATCCAATCAAACAGTAATCATAGTAATGGTCATCACATATGATATACTTATGCTATGATCACTCACACAATACACTGCATGACCACAACGTAGTCGCATCAGTGATGGCATTGTCACCCTTAAGACACACACAGACCTCATTCCATTGGATCAGATGGTCGTAATCGTTGTCCTCAACCAATCGCCACAACTTTGTTATGAAGGCCGGAACCGTACTCCCGGTGCTGTCCATCGTATGCATTGATGGCAATGAGTAGGTGTTGACACAAATGTCTGCAGATGTGTAGACCACTGATCACCGGCTGACCACTGAATGTGATGTCGAGGTTGTGTTGAGTCAGTGCTTATCACACAAACAAACACTCGTTTCATACAAACAACAAATACGTCATACAATCGACGCATTAATTACGACGCAATTCATTGCATTCAGAGTCGCAGTCACTCTATTCGCAACTAATTGCACGAAAATCCCCATTCATATCACTCTTAGGCATATATTTAATGCAATTATCACTGCATTTGTCGCACAATTATCTCACTTTCAATTAATTCATTTAATTAATAAAGTATTAAATTTCATGATTTACTCGTAATTTATGTTCAATTTATTGCAATTCGCGAAAACGTGTTGAAACCCCTTCGGAGGCCAACATTTGCTTCACTGCTCGGCA